CCCCCCCCCCCCCCCCCCGATTGCTCAAAAATCAAAACCCTAATTTTAAAAAACAAATTGATGCCACTTTTTTTAGGCGAAGCATAGAAGTACGGGTGTAAGCGGATTTTAATCGGATCGGAAGTGTCATTACAAATCTGTATCCATTTATTTTTGTTGGATACCGAATTCGGATATGGATCTTGACGGATACTGAAAATCAAAACCGTATCTACATCCGTTGGATATCAATCGGATATCGGATATATTCATATCTGTTTCCAATTTTTTAAATAAAATTTAACAATCCTTTAATTTTAAATTAGATTAAAGTCAAACTGTTACTAAATCAACTATAATTTGTTATGAAATAATTATTTTCTTTGTTTTTATGATATATGATATTCTATGATAACTCCATGTGATAAAAATATATACACAGCACGTTGCACATATTTTTATGTGCCTACACATTTATTTTGGGTATAAAAATATTTTATACTTTGAAATATCAATAGAGAAACAAAATATAAACATAAAAAATTTGGAGAAACTATATATAACGAATCAGATATTTGGATAAGCGGTTATTTAAATGGATGCATATTCGGATCGGATTTTAAATGGATCGGATATGCAATTACCAAATCCGTATCCGTTTAGTAATCAGATATCCTTAATCGGATACAGATAATATCTGTTTCAAACGGATGCAGATATTTTCTCTTTAAACGGATACGAATGCAGACGGTAATCAGATTTTCGGCTATCCGTTGACAGGCCTACATAGATGTAATGTTTTATTCTTATATTTGGTTTTCATAACTCAATTTTTAACACTATGTTTTGTTCAAAGAATTTGGAAAGAAAAGAAAATGGTTTTCTCTCATTTCCTCATCAAAATTAGAGGAATTTGGTTTTCCCCTCTACTTGGTACATTTTGTTGGCAAGTAGAGCTCATCCTTGTGAAGTGGCTCTTAGATCCAAGAGGGGCCTCCTCATCGGCCCCAAATAAGGGGGCGCAAGAGTGGCACCTCGGTTATTGCAGCTGATTCTGTGTGGGCCGCGAGAGCGGTACCAAATTGAGGCAAACTCTGAATACTAGATATGACAAAAAAAACAATAAAAAACTAAGAGGGGGTCAAGGTCGGCCAGTGATGGGGGATAAGCTTCATCGTCGAGAGGGAAATAGCCCGGGTCATTCATATCAGTAAATCCTTGTTATGTTAGAACGTTTTCCCTATTTAGCCGCTTATTCTATTTTTAAATTTGTTTATTCCGGCAGAATAAGCAGCCAATGTAGGACGGAGCTGAGATGTGACGTCTTCCCCGCCACAACCGGAGGAAGGTGAAAAGTGCCAAGAAGACTCCGGACTGCGATGGAGCCCAAGGCCGTCCACTTGGACGTGAGAAGACAGAGAAACCCCCTTCTAAAGAGAGGGTTTGCGGCACACATGGATAAAATTTGGGCCTCTTGTTAGAGTTGTGCCCTGATGGCCAACTGTTTTATCGTTATTCTATCATGTATAGGCAGATATAATTTGTTTACACATCTCATGCTAATGTAAACAAAAATTATATTCCTAGATTAATATTTAAAGATGTTTATCAGATAGTGTTTCTCTGCTGATGAGACTAACATCTTGTAATAAATATTTATTTGAATGTCCATAGTCGAGTACTAACAAAGGCAGGATATTAGTAGATGTGATAAAAATTTGATAAATCAAAATTAAATTTTAAAATCAATTTAATTATATTAAATTTATTTCATAATTAAATATATATTTTCTCATACTTTGTGGTCCTAATTTGTAAAATATGACTAAAAAGTTAAAAAGGGAAGATTATTTAGGGTGGAGATAGTATAATTAGAAAAAATATAAAATATATGAGGTGTTGAATGAGTGATAGATTGATAAATGTGATAAAACAGAAAAAGAAAAATGAATAATTTAATTTTAATTAGAAAACAATATATACCCAAAATATATTCGATCAAAATATATATGAACTGAAATATATTCAAAATTAAAATATATCAGAACTGATCTAAATCCGAAATCGAAATATATCCAATCCAAATTTTATCCGAACCGAAATCTATTCGAATCGATTTATTTCCTAACCGACTCGAAACCGAATAATGAATCGAGTCAAATCAAATAAGAACCAAAATTTAAGTGAGTCAAATCGAACCAAACCGATTATAACATATATCAGGAAGATATCTGAATCAAAAAAATCAAATTTAGAACCGATCAGGTTGACTGGATTGCCTCCTCTAGGGGTAACTTTGTATACATTCTTAGCATAGGTGAGCAAGTACTTAACTGATACCGAAAGTTCTCGAAAAAACCGAAAAACCCAAACCAAAAAACTTCAATTCGAATGTTCAGTTCGGTATTTAGAAATGATATGAAGTAACATTCCATACCAAAAATTCTGAATCGAATGTATATACTTATATATTATAAATATAATACTCTTTTTGTATTTTTCATTGAATAATAAATTTATTTTTAAAATTTGTCTCAACTTTTATAATGTATACAATGTACTTTAATATGAGTTTTAACTTTTAGTGGAAGACTTTCAAAATAGTAACAAACATTTGAAATATCATTTTGTTATCATCCGTTCACTGTAGTGTGTGAGATATAAACTAAGTTTAATAAGCATTTTTAGTATTTAATTTTTTATTCTTTTTATTTAAATATAGTTTCAATTTTCAAAAAAATTATGTTTTTTGTTACACTTTAAAGTTTAAATTAGGTGCGTATATTTTCATTTTGACGATTCCTCAACCGATACCGAACTATTCCGAACCGACTTAAAATCCCCTAGGAACCCAAATATTTGGTCTAGTGTCCATGCTACACTTACACCAAAAATTGTACCCCATTTGTACACCGTAGTTATACACAAACATTTTGATGATTTAAACCGATACAAGTGTTGGTGCATTAACAAAAAATTACACAAATACAAAGTATTGGTGCGTTAACAAAAATTAGTTTTACACGAACACAAAATATCGATGCAAACTTGCGGTGTACAAATGGGGTAATTTGGGGTACAAATAGCTTTGTCCTTGATCTAGTTATCTAACGGTGACTCGGTGTGTTCTGAGCTGGAAGCTGGGAGTAGGGGTGTACACCGGTCCAGAACTAGATCGGATCAGAACTGGAAAACCGGGAACCCGGAATCCCCTAAAGCATAGGACCGAAAACCGGACCTATTAGATTCCGATCCGGACCGATCCCGACTGGTTTTTTCTGGTCCGGTCCGGGTAAAAACTGGAAAACCCAAAATTTATTTTTCTAATTCTTTTAGTCAACTTTTTAAACTTGTTTTTCAACATTGTAGCTTGAGTAGAATTGATTTCAACCCTACATTTAATTTTTATATCCATTGGGTGTGTTTCAAAAAATTATATTAATATAAAATATTTTTATCAATAATATAATATGTTTAAAATGATTTTTATACTTCCGTTAGTTTTGGGATTTCAAAAATATTATAAAGTTGTATTTTAAAGTATTTTGGTTTTAGCAAGTCTAATTTATATGTCAAAGTATTTAATACTTTAAATCGAAAGATTCTACCTTAATTTTTGGGAAATAATTTTAGTTTTTTATAATTATGGATATTCTTGGGTAAAAGTGAATGAAATTAATTAAAAAAGATATAAACTACATTTAAAAAATTATACTTCGTATTAAAACAAGAAGAATAAATGAAAATATACAATTGTACTTATAATTATATGTATACTCGGTATTATAGGTATTAATTTTTATTTAAAAAATAGACATTCCGATCTTACCGGTCCGACCCAGAAACAATCCGGTCTTGGACCGAAATTTTACCAGTCTAAATTCTGTAGACCAGAGACCGGTCCAGAATTTTACCAGTTTAGCCCGGAACTATTTTTGACTTTTTTCCAGTCTGGTCCTGTCCTGTTTTCCTGTCCTACCGGGATTCCCTAGTGGAGTAGTGGGCATCATTTGTCTTTCAGGTATATAAAGGCCCTAAGGCGATTAAGAAGCACATTTTGATCAGAGAGGCGTCTTGATAAACGCCCTTCTCTATATTTTCTCTCCCATCTTCCTTCATTTCTTCCGAATCCTCTTTCTCCGAATCTCATTAAACCGCGAAAAAAATGAGAGAGTGCATTTCAATCCACATCGGTCAGGCCGGTATCCAGGTCGGAAATGCTTGCTGGGAACTTTACTGCCTCGAGCACGGCATTCAGGTATGCACATCCCTTAATGGTAATCGAATCGTTTGAATATATGTGTTTTTGTTTCGCTTTGTTCCGATCTTCGTTTGTGGGGCTTAGAAGACCGTCCGATCGTTTAGATCTGCTTGAATCCCCTAGGATTTTGATATATCCGAACGCATTTGTTGATGGATCTGTTACCAGACACAGATCTGGAATGGTTTTGTTTGGGTTCTGAAGATTTTTTTTCTCCAGAAGGCGAATTATGACGTGATTTTTAATCTGGTATCTCCTTTGTTATGCACAAACACAATCAATGGAGTCAAAATCTGTTTGAAGCATCTAGATCTACATTTGAATCTCTACGTCATCTACATTTTTTAT